AATAATCTTTATGTGCACTTTTATGTTTATATTCTCTAGTTTATAGACTATTAGCTTCGTTTATTGGCAACAATAAAATTATCATAAAAACTGATGATTGAAACAACAATTTGGCTGTTACAGCATGTTACTGTGTTGCAAACTCGCGCCACTCGTGCACCAACAGCGTGTCTCCCTCAACACCAAAAAAGGGCCAGGATTAATTAGAGTTGGTAAATTAATAAAACTTAAAGATATAATTTTTTACTTTTTAAAAACCAAGCGTATGTGTGTGTGTGTGTGTGTGTGTGTGTGTTTTAGGTTCTTTGACTTTTCTTATCTGCCTCTCTGATTATGCTGCTCGGTGGCTGCTTAAAGTGCAGTCAAAAAACGGCGACCACAAGTAAATTAAATTGCCGGCAGTGCTAGCCGACCCGAAACCCAAGAGTCAGCGACAACATAAATCAAACGAATGCAAATGGCAACTGGCGCTAGCGAGAATGTTGCATATCACAAATGAGATTACACTTGGGCAAGTGAACTGACGCTGCTACTTCTGCCAATGATGCTGATGTTGCTGCTGATGGTGCTCGATGTGCACAGCACAACACTGACTGTGCGAGCGATTCTTTAAATTGTAGATGAGAACAAAGAACAAGTTTCCTCTCAGAGACATAATAAAACAGCGACGACGCGACGAACAGTCGGACGGCTGGCTGCCTGGCTGGCCGGACTGCTGGTATGCTCGCAAATTATCAGCTAAGCTTGATGCCAGAACTGCCACTCAGTGACTGTGTATGTGTGTGATGTGCTCTTTTCCTCTGCGGTGCTGCTCCAGTCCAACTCCCCGCAGAAGTAGAAGAAACAGTCAAACTGAGTTGCTGATTCGAGATGCCGAGGCTTTCGAGTTGTTCGTCTGCCCTATGCTGCTGGCGTATCTTTTTCTCTTTTCTCTCTCTCCTTCCTCTCTTCTGTCTAGAGCATCGTTCTGTTCAATTTCCCGCTTATTTGTTAGTCATATCAAAATGTAAACTATCGACCGACCGAATGAACACATTTTGCGAAAGCTACACTGTGATGAATGCATGACGATCGGGTTTAACTGCAGCAGCACCATCAGTACTAGTGTCGCCAGTGAGGAGTTAGTTAGTTGGTTTCCAGCAGGAACAAAGCAAACGACCATTAAGAAGCAGCCATGTGTTGAAACCTGGTAAAGCCATGGCGCGATCTGCTGTTTGTGCTAATATAGCCAACCCAGGCAATTCTATATTAGTTCCTACTTTCTTGTGGTTCAGTTGACTCCAGCTGCATTGATGGCGCGTCGGTTGACTGTTTTCCTGCTAACTACAACTACCCAAAGTCAGAGCATGTGCAGGGTCAATGTAGAGGAACTGGTTTTCAATGAAATGCTTCGCCTCACCAGAAATGGAACATTCTAAAGTACAATTTTCTACTCCATTTCAAAGCAAACAATAATATTAAAAGTGCATCATTATCTCCATCAAGTATATGTGCTGAACAACATCTAAAACTAAAACAAAACTCTCCACAAAACATTAGTTTTTAATTTTAAAAAATGAACAAAAATAGTTCAAAACAAAAACAAACTAATTCTGTTTCTGTTAGCGCCTGTCAATCAGTCAATTGGCTGGTGATCTGTCAAGTGTGTTGTGGCGCCGAGTGCCGGTAATTCGGTGCTCAGTGGAAATGCTAAAAAGCAAAAAAATGTAAATTATGGCACGAGAGCAGACGGGCAGACGAGTTTGGCAAAGAGGACATTGAGCACGGATATCATTATGGCGGTGCTTCTTGGAGCAGGGAGCACTGCTCAATGAACAGTAGAATGGCGCAGTAAAACGCTGAAGCGGTGAGCAGATAGCGATGATGGCACTGGCACCTTATCTTTATTATTCGCAGACGAATCGAAATTTGAAGGAAAATTATTTAGCGCAAACTTTCGCTTCATAATTGCATTGTAATTGGGCGAAAGCAAGCCAGTTCACGAGACAATGAATGGAATATTAATTAATCAGCCATCAAAAGGTAGCTTAGGTCGCCCTGTTAAGATAGCACTTTGAGACTTTGTCGTTTCTGTCCATTTTCACCAGAGCTACATTATATGAGAGTGTTTTGGCCAGTGAAGTTGCTTTCTTTGCTGTTCTCATCCCTACCACAGCAAAAGCCACCGAGAATGCGCGCACCAATCTAAGCCTATAAAGCGGACAAGGAAACAGCAGCTGCAACAGCAACAGCACGGCCAATGCGCGCTCTGGCCGAGGTCTGGTCTTCTATAGACTGTTGGGCAAACCAATGGACGGTCACTTGGGTCTATGAAAAGCTGACAAAAGGCTGAGAAGTAAGTAAGGACACAGCAAGTTAGGGAGGAAAGGCTTTCTTGTGTTGCACTTGGGGACAGTTGTCAATAACAGAGATGAGCAGTAATATGACACGACTTCAGAATGAGGACACTCAACACAAATCCACACACACAAACACATTGGCTGCATCACACAAAACACAATTTCAAATAAAGAAACACATGTGATGAGGCCACTGCTCTATTTTGGTCAGCGACAAAGTGGTTTAAATTTGATATTAGAGAACGAACACTATGGAAATGCAAGCGAAGAATGAGGATGACCATAGTTGCAAAATCAGGCCAGTTTGCTCAGTGTCGGTTACTGTCAAGACAGAGTTGCCTTTTGATTGCGACCATCGGTGCAATTCAAGTCAAATTCTCGCCAGCGGCACACATTTGGCCATTTCGATCTACTTTTACGTAACAGCAAGAGAATTTTATGGCTCTCTGTTCGACTGCCTGTTTTCGGCCGCTGCCGGGCCATTTCGTTAACTGTGTGGGGTCCTAAATTGGCGACAGTGAATAGTCAGTGGATTGCCTCAAAATGTTACGTAAGTTTGATCTACTTTTTCTGCCCAGTCAGTCCAGTGAAAGTGTTTATGGTGCCTAGTTGAGTCTCACCCGGAGATGAGCAAGAGAAGGGAAAAGAAGGGAAGACAGCCAATTGCCACAAGCAACTTTGTGCAGGCAGTGTCCGAACGAAAAAGAAAGAGAGCGAAAGGGAAAGGGAGGGAGCTTTTTTATGACACAGCAGTCGATGCCGTAGGCTTAGGTCGGGCAGTTTGGTGCCAATAATAAAATTAGTTGCGTGTTGTGCTGTAAATATTTAGAAAACATGTCAAAATGAAAGTATGTAAAAAAGTGGTAGTAGGGCACCAGTTCACTTGACCTCAATCGATTACATAAACACAATTCGCTACACTGTCTTTGAAGAGTCAGTGCTCTCTTTTTTACTTTCTCTGGGTCACTGTCCAAAATTGTTTGTCCCACTGGTCAGCACTTGGATCCTTCGCTTGCCATAAAAGAAAAAAATATCTGTTTTGTCGCCGCGTTTGCGTAAGCAAGAATTTATGGCCATCGAGGTGGTCACCGGTAGACAGCACTTTGCTCAAACAAATGCCGCAGAATGCTAGCCCAAAGAATACATAAATGGTAAACAAGAACAACTGGGTCACTTAAACTTAAGCCAGATGAGCTTTGAAAAGTTTAAGATAAACATTGAGTCTAAAGAGAAATGATAAAGTGCAATGCAAATTCAGTGATCAGTGTTGCTGAAAACTGCTGAAAAGCCTGTACTGAGGTAGAAAGAGGAAAATGTCGGCGGTTGCAGCGAACCATCGATGTCAAGGGAAAAGGAAATGTCTGCGCCACTAATTAAAGATTTTTTAATGCACCTTACAACGTGCATAAATGTACAAGGTGTTCTCGCTAGTGTGGCGACATGGCTGACTGGAGGAATTGTCGTTGCTAACTAAGCGGACATCTGCAAGTTCAAAGTTAACTGGCGTGCCATCAGTGAGAGTCAGGCATTTCCGTCGCCTTAAAGAGAGCTCAAACGAAACATTGTTTAAGCCATGAGTGCAATGTTATGCTTGTGCATCGATTTAAATTGCTGTCCAAACAAGCTGGGAGTGGTGGCTGTTTTAGTGTTTGTTATTGTGCTATTGGGCATCACTCGGTAGCAGCAGTGTTTGAGAACGCACGTTGAACATCAAATTAAGCATTTAATTAAAGCAGAAGATAAAGGCAATATTTAAAATAAGAGGTATGAAGCTAATGCATCAGCACAGGCACTGATTTGCTGATTCGACAGATTACAAAATGCTGTTAATTAAGAAAGACTGTCGATAACAAATTGGTTATAAATTGTACAAAACGACAGTGTAAGTACAAAATGGCGTCACTAGCAAAAGGGGGAGAATTTCAATCGGATGGGTGAGCTCATGTGGAGTCGTCCAACAGGGCTCAGCGGGCGGTGGTGATGTGAGCTAGCTAACTGACTGACTGGCTAGCTAGCTTGCGTCAGATTATCAAGTCTGAGCATTGGTCCACCAGTGGTCCACGATCAAACACAACAATTGTGGGCGAGCGATCTCGAATTCGAATATCAAAGAAAAACGGTTTGGCGAATGACTCGATAATGAAGTACAATGCAGATTGTCTCTGTCTGTTTATCTGCATGTGTGTGTGTGTGTGTGACTGGGCGATGATCACACAATGACTAGAGCACAGTGTTCGTGCAAGGACTCAGTTGTTCGGTTTGAGCGGCAATGTAAATTGGTTCTAATCATAATTAACTTTATTGTCTCTATCATTGCCGTTTTTACTGCCTGCCATTGGCACTGTTTGCCATGAGGCAGTCGCTCTCATTGTTTGTTTGTTTGCGAGGCTGTTCATTCTTTTCCCTTGTATTGCCCGTGCCTGTCCTTTGCCTGAGCCTCGGCGCCAGCTTAGGAGAAAAGTCAGCTATTCAGCTGAACTATGGTGCACTTTATGGCGCCATAAAGCAGTAATGGCGCAATGGCTGCACGCAGATTATCTGCTGCTGCTCCTCCTCACTAGTTACTAGTCCGCAAGTCTACCACCGATTGACAGGCAGTGGACACTGGTCTGGTCTTGGTCAGCACAAAGATGATAGAGTTTTGCCGTCGATAGCACCCACTGGCAAATTGTACTGCGTACAATGAAAACGGCAAAAACACTGTTTTGCTAGAAGTTGTCACTGTGGCAAAGACGGCCAAAAAGGCAGCAGCCGCAGCAGCGAAAAAATAGCGGGCAAGAGTTAATGCTAATTGACTTAAGGTCCCCTTTCCTTGTGGTGGCTCACTTTTACGACTTTTTTACTAACTTGCAAACTCACACTCCGTCGCAAGCCTTCTACACCACTGCCTTGTCTTGTTGCAGCCGCCGTCCCTTGCAAAGGCTGCATTATTTTTTGTTGCCGGAGACTTTATGAATTCAATGCTGAAAGACTGTGGTGATAATTTGTTTCGTGTGTCTAGCTGTACCACTCTTGTTCCTCATTACAAACGCATATGAATCTGTTAAGTTGGCATTGCTAATGCTTCCTGTAGCCAATGTTTTGAGCTGGAGGCTGATAGAATGTCATGAAATACAATTTATTGATAGATTGGTCAATTAAGTAATCAAGTTTAATACAGCAAAATACGGTTCGTATAATGATGAAACGAGGGAGAAAAAGAAAGGTGAAAAGAAAGAAGGTCTAGTAGTAGGTACGTATACAGTGATGCTACTTCTGAATGTTTAGTAATCAATCAATTCATTCAATGGGAGAGTGATCGCAGTGAGTGCGCGTTGGGCTTACTTATGATAGGATGAAAATGAATGAAAAGTAGGTGTGTGTTTGTGTGTTTGTGAGTAGGTAGATAGGCATATTAAGAAGCGTAGAGTACGTATAGAACAGCAGCTGAGATGAACTGCAATCGTTTTAGTCCATTCACCAAACGAAACTGGTTGGACAAATAAATGCATGCGTAGTCCTGTCGTGCTGTACTAGATAAGTTGTCTGAGCTGTGTTGCTTTGTTAAGATGTGTGTATCAGTGTCTGTGTGCCTGTGAAATTGCACTACGAAACGGTCAGTTCGATAATAATGGGTTACGTATATGGTGAAAGAAAGCAAAAGGCCCACACAAGGATGACCTTCATTGGGTTGCAAAACTGTCGGCCTTGTGGTGAGGGAGTATGAAAGAGTGCAATCTGTGTGTGTTGGAGACTGTAGATGATAACTGATGTAAGTAGTGGCTAGCGATGGACTCAACTGCTGTCTACCTGTTTGCATGTTGTGATGTGTGTGTGCAAGTGCAAATGACAAGACCGTACAAGAGAGTCCGGCAGAGTGATGCAACTATTCGGTACTTATAAATAGTGAGAAGGTGTAAATGAAATGGGCTGACCTTTGCGACGAAGGACTGTTGAAGGATGCGCTCGGTTGTCGGTGGTTGTGGACGAGAGCGAGGGGTGCAGAAGAAGACAGCAGAAGAGAGAGAGAATGAGACGAGTGAGAGCTGCTAGAGTGGGCGCCGGTGATGAATAGACTACTACTGCTGCCGCCGTGAGTTCAGTGTTGTGAAGTTGACTACGCCTTTCCATCGGAACTGTCGGAGCCCTGCATCTTGCCCGCCTGGGCCTGTCGCTCCTGTTCGTTCAGCTCCTTGATCGCCTGTATCTCCTTCTTCAGCTTCATGCGCCGATTCTGGAACCAGATCTTGATTTGGCGCTCGGTGAGACAGAGGGCGTGGGCCATTTCGATGCGTCTCCGTCTGGTCAGGTAGTGGTTCGTGTGAAACTCCTTCTCCAGCTCTAGCGTCTGGTAGCGGGTGTACGTCTGCCGACCACGCCGTCGCAGGCCTGTTGCCCCAGCCAAACCTGTCAGTGCAAGCAGAGAGAAAGGGAAGAGATAAAAACAACGTGTTATCAGTTTTTGTTAGTCAGGGGAAGAAGTCTAGGTAGCAGCGCCGTCTAAGTGTGTGCTTCAATGCTAATCACGATTTAATTAAATAAAAAGCTATTGAGGGGCAAGATAGCTGTTTTTGAGCTCAATTGCACCGAGTGTGTTTGCCCAAAGGAGACCATTACCACCATCACCACCACCGCCAATGCCATGAGCAAATGCCAAACCAAAGAGAGTGTGGAGGGCAGCTGCGGTGGCTCAGTGGCGGTGGCAGTGGCGCGCGCTTGCGTCAAACGAGGAACAGTCTGGCCATTCTGGCCTTTATAGAGTTTGTATTTCGTTTTCTCAAATGAAGGAACAACGCCCAGCTGCTGCAGCTGCTGCTGCTGACTGCGGCTGATTGCTTCTGTGGCAGTTGCTAAAAGTGGAAGACAAAATGGCGACGGAGAATGATGCTGAGTCATGACACCGCAGTGTTCGGGATGGAAAAGCACCGACTGACTGACTAACTTCGTACATTGATTTGTTGAGTCTGTCGCCAGCGAGCAGAGTGCCCGATGAATGCATGCATTCATGATGATGATGATGATGATGATGATGATGAGTGTCAATAAGTGAGCACAGTGAGCCAGCGACTGTGATGGTGATGGTGAGTTGGTAAGAAGAAAAACAAAATCTCGTGGGTGACAGACACTTTACGGCAGTGCTGAAGAAAGCCGTGGAGAGCACTTTGCCACCTTACGCAATCTCAATTGAGAATGCAAATGACAAAACTTCCTTTGCTAGCAAAAAAANGATGGTGATGGTGAGTTGGTAAGAAGAAAAACAAAATCTCGTGGGTGACAGACACTTTACGGCAGTGCTGAAGAAAGCCGTGGAGAGCACTTTGCCACCTTACGCAATCTCAATTGAGAATGCAAATGACAAAACTTCCTTTGCTAGCAAAAAAATGGGCATAGTGGTGACAATCACTGCCCGCTCAGGTGGAGGTGCACCAAGTGGCCAGTGATTTTCAACTGCGCTCGGTAGTGCTAGCAGTGATAGTGATCAATGGCAAAACGAAGAAAAACAAACTAGTCAGTGAGTGCAATGGAGGCTGCTGATCGGATGATCAAGTGCCATTGAGTACCTTTATATGCTTCTTTTCTTTGCGTTTCCTATCTCACTTTGTTCAGTTACTTTAGTCGTCGTCGATGTGCCTACCACTTCTTGTCAGTAGTTGCTTGACTTATGGGCATTTCACATCGACGACTGATTTCTGGCTGCAACACGCTGCTACACAATTATGGAACTTAAAAAGTCGTAAAGTTCTAACCATTTTACGACTTTAAAAAACATAAAACAGCATTTTTATTACAAACTAAGATATTTCAAAGTCTAGGTCAGACGACGTCGACGGCGAAGCGAACGGCGGTGAGTATTGCCAATTAAATATTATTACATCGAGCTCAAGTTTACAGTGTTGCGGGAGAACTGATTACCGGGTGGTTAAGCAGCTGCTGCAGTTTGGCGGCGACAACAATCAAAACACTGAACATCTTATCGCCACACGAAATGGCTTCTTGGGCAGCTTCTTCGTCTTCTTCTCCTTCTCTGCCTGAACTGCGGCACCACAATAGCCATACAATGAAGCACTATCGGCACTCACTCACTCACACTGACAATCCTTAGACATGGCAGCAAAAGTGCCGCTACAAAAAAGAAAGACAACGGCAGTAAATGACAAACATCAAACAAAACAGTTGCAACATTGCAAAATGATCACTGAGCATAGAGAGAATTTTAAAAAGAAGGATAATGAAAAGATGCTCGCTAAAAGAATAGTTTTATGTCATTGTGAGTAGATTCAGCTGGCAAACGGACAGACCAGTAAGTCGACTTAAGAATAGCCGCAGTTACGGGCAGTGGGGTTGCCACTGTGATTAGCTTCCACTGCTGATGCAGAAGATGCTGTGGATGCTTGTCCCATGCTGATCAAGTTGACAATTGCCACTGAAAAGTGAGATTGCCTTTCTGTCGTTAGTCACAGTGTTAGATGGTGATAAAATGTGAAGTGAAGCGATTTGCCCCATGAAGGAGAGGCATACAAAAAGAAAAGAGATGCTTTGATTTGCGCCACTTGTCTCGATAACTTGTTTATGCGTACTTATTAACGAGCCTGACTCCACTAATGTGCTCCTTAATCGGACATGTTAGTTCTGCCAAATTATGCAGTAATGAGAAAGCCATTTTATTGAGAGAAAGGCCGTGAAAAAAGTAGAGGGCACATCAGCGATCGCATCGACAACTGATGTTGCAAAGAAGAAAAACTCAAACGCATACAAAACATTTGAAAAGCAAAAAACGTAAACAAACCTGCAATGGCCATCCAGGGGTAGAAGTTAGAGCCACCCATCGATGGATTCATGTTGGGGTTGTTGCAGCAGGCTGACCAGGCGTCAGAGACGGAGCGAGAGCAGGCGGCTGCGNACGTAAACAAACCTGCAATGGCCATCCAAGGGTAGAAGTTAGAGCCACCCATCGATGGATTCATGTTGGGGTTGTTGCAGCAGGCTGACCAGGCGTCAGAGACGGAGCGAGAGCAGGCGGCTGCGGCGGCTGCGTCGAAACTTCGCATGTCAGGCGCACTCATGCTGGTCGAGGAGGGTGAAGGTCGAAGAGAGGACTGCCAGGCGCTGGCGTTCATCTGGTGATCGGGTGCCTTGAAGCCATTCTGGTCGGCTTTGCCGTTTGAAGTCAGCTGACTGCACTCGGACTTGAAGGCGGCAGCTGCGGCTGCGGCCGCTGCCGCCTGGTTCGCCGCCGCCACCTGACTGCCGTCCTGACCGCCGTACAGTTTGCAGGCAGCGTCCACGTAGTTGGAGGATCCGCCACTGCCACCACCACCACCGCCTCCTCCTCCGCCGCCGCCGACGCCGCCTCCATCAGCGCCACCGGCGCCGAGGTTGACTGAGGACTGACCAGTGCGAAGTGGGTTCGAAGTGGAGTTGGCGTAGGCTGCACTGGCCACGCTGGCCGGCGATGGCATCAGCGACAGTGCCGACTGCGAGAATGAACGGTAGGCCGCCTGATGTGCCTCTGCCGGATTGTAGAAACCATTCGCCGTGCCGCTGTGGTCGAAGTAAGCGGTGTTCATCATTTTGCCACACTCTTATTGCTTTCTAATCCAGTTGGGGAGTAATGTGTGCTCAATGATGGAACACAGACAGCAGCTGTAGGTGAGGCAGTCACACTGAAGAAGAGGAAGAACAGTGCGAAGGTGTGCAGAAGACAAAAGCACTAATTGGGCCAAAAGCCGAAAACGGAGACGCTGATCGGCACAGCAAATCCACCGAGAAGAGCAGAGATGAGTGACCGTCTGAGAGCGCTGGTCGTATGTAAAGCAAGTTCAATAAAAGTTTATAGTCGCTTTTAATGCCGCTGATTAGGCCTCAGTTTATGAGTGCTGTGCTTCTTCGGCGATGGAGGTTGCTCAGCCGCAGGTTGTTACATTTTGCGCGATTCGCACTTGCAGTGGCAGAGACTGGCATCGACTAGCGCGGCAATTGTTGCTGCTGCTTTTTTATTCTTCTTTCAGTGTCTCTCCGGCAGACTTTGGGTGCATTTATTGCCTGTCTTTAAAAGCCGATTCAACGTGCTTTAGCGGATGACTTAGTCGGCCACTTTACGGCGAAAGTGCTCTCTGCTCTTCTTCTTCTTCCACCCCACACTCTTGGCACCGTAAAAATTTGTCAACACAGCTTTGTCGTAGTCCTCGTCGGTCGCTTTCTTCAATGTGTGATTCGAGCAATGATGATGACGACAGTGAGGCACACGCTAGGGAAGAAGAGGCAATTCATGCAATAAACGGTGTGTGAGCTGGACAATGGGGCTCGAGATGCGTTGAGTTGAAGTTGAGATCAGTGGAGAGGACTCGTCAGCAAACGCACACCAGCACAAACTGTGAAGAACAGACACTGATCACTAAGGAGAAACACACACTGAATGAGTAGGTAAAGTCAAAGAGGGAAAGATGGTATTTTGAAACACCAAAGTTAATTTCAAAGGTTAGCCGCAGCGAGGCACACTAATAATAGAAAGGTGAAAACTGTGGCTAGTGAGTGAAGAAGAAAAGAAGAGAAGAAAATGGCAAAAAAGTATAATTAAAACGAATGAGATCTTTATGAGGAGAGGAGTCAAAGTCAGCAAGAATGCGCAAACTGGCAAGATAGCGAACGGCTGAGGGACAAGTGAGCGCGTTCAATTCAAGAAGCAATTTGTAATCGATGCTTGACTTGGGTGACTTGCATCTCGCCGATTGGAGCTGCTAGTATCTCTTTCTCTCTCATTTGGTGAACGTAGTGTGCTTCGTGGGGAGCAGTAAGCTACAGGAGTAAGTACTAGTGCTCAGTGACGACGCAGATGCGAGAGAACAGCAACGGCGGCAATGGCAGGAGCAGTGGTACCATTGTGCCATATCGACACGGAACGCCTTTCCCTTCTTCTGCCTTCTGACATTCACTTGGCCAGACACTTTGCTTCCTTCAACGCTTGGCAACTTGAGCACTGTCGAACAGACAGAGCAGCTTCAACTTCAGACTTCAGTTCAGCAGGCAGTGAGCTCACCCAGCGGCAGCAGTTGAGGCAGTCAGCACTGCGAGCACTGCCACAACCAGCACCACTACACTACTACTTCAGCTAGTGCTTCCTCACTCACTGAACTGTGAGGGATGTGCGCAGGACGCTGAAAGTAGGCAGGTTTAGGCCGGTGCTGGCTCTGCCACTGCTCACACTACGCCATCCATTTTCAGATGGGTGTGGGAGATCGGCGCACAGGCTGCATAACTAGCCAGACTAGCTCATTTTGCTGCTAGAGAGGAGCAATAGTCGACGGCGCTGGCGCTGCTTCTCGGTACGTCCTGGCACAGCTGGTCATAGTGGTCTTCTCCGTCCTGCGAACTCTTCTTCTTCTTCACAGAACCACTGCGACATCATCACTAAGGCACTTCAGCTCATCAAGACGTCCAACAGAAGTCTGCCGCTTCTTCTGCTTCTTTATCCTCTCGTCTTGCACTCTCTCTCTCTCTCACTTACATCTAATCGATTTCTTCTACCACCGCTTTCGCCAGCAACCACAACTCAGCCATCATCCACCGACTGAGCGTTCGTTGCTCGCTAATTCGCTTAATTAGGCAGCTTTTCCTCTGCGCACTCTACAGACCAGACGCTTGTCTCGCTCCTTTTACTTTCAGTCTATCTATCCTGGCATCTCCTCGACGAGTCGCTTAATTCAAGTGCCTGCGCCACAGCAAACCAGGGAGCCAATGAAAGGAAAAAGAAAGAAAGACAGATAGATAGATGTTGCTGTTGTTGCTGCTGATGATGATGGCGGTAGTGGTGGCAGGGTCGCAGATGAAGCAGTCTCCTGCTGTGCTGGCAATTGTTCAGAACAAACAGCATTAAGAATGGATGCTAACTCTGACAAAGTAAAAGCTCACCCACACGCACACTCGGGGCCAATAATCGTCAGTTATGATATTATTATTGCTTTATTAATATTGACAGAAAGATAGACTGAGAAGTTAAACTGCGTCACTGAAACTGTAAGCACGTTTTCATTGAAAACTTTATACTTGAAATAGATTGAAATCATCCTTTGGCCAGAGAATCAGTTGACAGAAAGCAGATTTCACATTCAAAGTAAAGTGCTACAGCGAATGAGGTGCACCTAATCTTCTGGCAAAACTGCTCACTCTGTCTGACAATCTTTCCTTGGCGGTTATTGAAGCGGCACAAACACACAGTTCGTTGCCTCACAAATTACCAAGCAGTCTGCAAATGGGCAAGTCCAAGTTAGTGCTCATGCACAGGACATTTACATCATTCTCAGAGGCACTTGATTGTGGTGGTTGAACAAACTGTGCAAGTCGTCCTCAAACAAAGTTCTCATCACTTTCAAACAATGGGTTGCAAAAGTGCCGGCAGCTTTAGATTTGCCGCCTCTGGTTTAGTTTGTCGTGGTAGCAGTGCTCATCCGTGTCTGGTTTAGCAGTGACCACTGCTCTCTAGAGCACCTTTAATAAAGGGCAAATTAAAATGGATTTAAATATAAAAANGGTTTAGTTTGTCGTGGTAGCAGTGCTCATCCGTGTCTGGCTTAGCAGTGACCACTGCTCTCTAGAGTACCTTTAATGAAGGGCAAATTAAAATGGATTTAAATATAAAATACCTTGCAATACACAGGTAGTACATGTGTGATTGCGGTTGCGGCCAAGAACGGAAGATGACAAGTCTAATGGGGCGATTGTGTGTGTTTGTGCAGTGGCATTGTTGCCCTTTCCTAAGAGCAGAAAAACGGCGCTTCTACTGGACAATAAGGAATAGCGCATAATGACGATAATAGGAGCAGTGCATAGTGAATAGTGAACAATGATAATGATGATAATGACCCTATTAGTGGCCATTGCCTGCTGTCAGCACCGCCACTGAAGAAATCGAATCGAAATCGAATTAGACGTCCGACAAGGTACAGAGGTAACAGTGGACTTACACTCACACACACACACAAACAGTGCTCAAATTGACCAATTTATGACGCAATTTGCATTATCTCTGCAGCCATTGCGGCAGGCAGTAGAGTAGTGATAGGTTCACAATGTCTAGACCGACAAAAACTCTCGGGCAAGGCAGTCAGTGCTTTGGCGGCGTCCTGCTTTTCGTTCACTTGCTTCCCAGTGAAAAGGCACCACCAAAGTATGCACCAGCAGTGTAAATGGCAGCCAAAGTGGACTCGACCTGCGTCGTCACTCATCCATTATCAGCAGACAGCAAGCCTATATCCTGCATCGATACGATGGCCAGCAGTTCGCAGCACTTGCTTCCATTTTGGTAACTTTGCTCAGTGCCCTGCACTGGTCAACACACCGTCAGCTCTCAGTGATCAGAAACAGGCAATCATCAGCACTTGCTCCAGCAGTGCACTTTCTCAAAAGCCCAATCACTTTTTCAGTCAACTGAAAAGGCGAGCTTACAGCAAGAAAGAGAGTCATGTAGTGTGTTCAGGCTTACGTTGACACAAACTCAAATTTACGAGTGTTTCGTGGTCAAATTTGAATTTGTTCTTGAGAGACGCGTATGCCATACATACATAGGGGAAAAGATGAAGGAAAAAGTGAACAGTTTGAGCAGACAAGAGAAAACGATATTGAGTGAGAGAGAAAGCTCAGGAAAAAAGTGAAACAAACGCCGCACGAATGGGCAAATATAGCCAGTGGCCAGATAAGCAGGCTTTGTTCGACTTCTGCTTGCAGATGCAGCAGCAGCCAGTCGATCCACAAAAGTCGGTTCGAGCGGACGTGGCTGCTTTATAGTGTCTGATAAGGGGCAGCTGTGGAATGCATAATTTATGTGGCACTTGCGATTGCAGTTGACCTAAGACCGGCACCATTTGGCCACATTGACTCGAACATGGGAACCGAACGTGCGCGCCACTGAGCTCATTTGTGCAGGCTGCTTTCTGCCTTCTGCTGTGCACATTGGCTAAGAGATTGGCTGCCTTTTCCGCCTAGTCACACACAGCACACACTATTGTCAAAGCCAACTGAGGATTGAGAGAAAAGTGAGAGGATGGCAGCTTTGGTCTTTCTGGGCAAGGAGAACGGTTATTGCTCCAATTCGCCCATCGACTGAAGCTAGGAGAGCAGGGGAGCAAAAGAACCACTCTAAAAAATGGTGTGTTATATATTTGGCAAAAAAGCGAGTTTGCCAAATATATTTGGCAATTTCTAAAACATATTTCAGTAAAAGTTTTTTTCTTGAAATATCATTATCAAATCTTTTTTGACAAATATATTTGAACAAAAATTCCCAATTATATTTCTGAAGACATTCTTTCCCAAATATATTTGGTATCTTAGCACGCTGTATATGAACAGTTTGCCACACAAAACAAAACACTTTCTGCTGCTCACACACTCACTTGAGTGACGCTCAAGCAACGTGTTTCAAATTGTGTTGCCTCATCGCCAAACTCCTCTTGACCTGAAGATCCTTTCCTCGTCTGAAGAAAATCTCACTTTTATGAACATGGATCAGCTTCCCGGTAATCCAAACACTTGTTTTCCTTTCTTTAACAACAGTTTTTTAGATCTCAAAGCAATG